TCCTCAAAAAATTGATGAATATGTTCACTGGGGACCTATATTCTATGTATGTAGTTCTGCAAGGAATTGGGTCTCTTTCATGTATAAGGGTATATATCATATACGTAATTCCCTTTGGGGAGTAGCAACCCTGGATGTCTGAAGCTCCTAAACTACGACGTTTCAAAAAAAAACAGGTCCCCCGAAATGACCAATTTCTTTTTATATTGTATTAAAAAAATGAGTTTTTCAGGCTCACCGAAGGGTATGTGAACTGGTAGTGGATGGTGCAACCAAAGATCAAACGAATGCAAATGCGACACCGCCGCCTCCAATCGCCATGTGCTTTTCCAACAAGCTGAAATCCGTGGGCCTAGAGCCGCAAGTCCACGGCACCTGTACTGTATGCATGTATGTGTCAAGGTGAAGTTGGTTCATTCACACACCCAACGTTTAAAGTTCACCTTGACACAGAAAATGGTAATTTGAGGTTACGCAGCATATCCCACCAGGTTTGTACATCAGTCTTTAATTTGGTGAGTATGTCAGCTAATTGAAATTGAGTTGGGACCCAGCGCATCATCCTGGGATCTTCAAATGCATGTCCCCAACAGGCTGCCTCGGCATTGATGAGTTGCCTGAGGGCTGCCAAATCAATCATTAACCTCTTTTCAGATGGGGCCTTTGGCCCACCGATTCTATGAACCGAGTCAAAAAGAGACTTGCAATCGGTCAAAGAGATTATTGGAACTACGCCTCTCACTGCATCTTCACTCAGAGGTTCGCCTCTCAAGGAACCTGCCAACATTGCACGAAATGCGATGGCGTCTTCCCAGCCCTCCAATGATGCCATCGTCTCAGCTGCAAATGTGCTCCGGCAAACTCTAGGACATGCATGAGATTTCCATGCAATGACAGCAGGGTTAACTTCATCTCCTTTCAGAGCGCGGCGGTCGCACATCAGAACCAAATGTCCCAATTGCGAGTAAATGCCATGACCACCAGGAACAAATTCTTGGTCATCAGCGCTCGCAACAGCATTGGCCCAGGCAGCATCATGGTAGACGAGGATCACAAGGTCGTCCAGAGTTGAACCCAATTTGGAAAAAGTGAGTGGTTCTCCCTTACCGTTCTGGGCCATTTTAACTACCTTATTGGTTTCTCTGACATCCCCATAGCAAGGCTGTTTCTGTTTTCTTTGGGCAAGTGACACACCTGCTTGAAGGTCAGGTCGAGATTGGCTAGCAAGCCAAGATAGAGCTCCAATCGTAGACTGGTTGTCAATCTTCGCCACCATATCAGCAGAATCATCCAAAATGATGTGCTTTGGGATCTCGACGGTCTCCAGCCTGGAGTTCACGTAGGACTTTTGGCTCAGTTGGATGCCATTGTCATCCTGCTTGATGTTGCTACCCACATACTCAAAGTCGTTCTCTTCCCAATCGGCAATAGGAAAGATGCCAGAGAGCTGTTGCTTCAGCGAATCTAAAACCTGAGGGGAGGCCGCAATGAGCAAATCATCTACGTGAGTAATAAGTGCTCCGTGAAGATCGCCCTGTTGATCGCGCAGCAAAAAGTAGCAAGCATCAAGTTCATGTGAAACCAAATGAAGGTGCTTTCCATCTATGCAAAGGTCAAGCTTTTTGAGATCAGTTGATAATTTCTCCCACCATAACCTAGGGCTAGTTGCTAAGCCGAAGACGCCCTTGATGACCTCAATCAAGGCACCAGGTTCCACGCCAGGCAAGCCGCGTGGTGGTTGGGAGAAATAAAGGTTCCTCCGAGCTTCATGTCCATTGAGAAAAGCTGCTTGCACATCACCAGCCGAAAGTCTCCACCCAAACTGTCCCGCAAGAAAAAGCAATGTCATAAAAGAAAGCTTTGTCGCCGTTGGGGCTTCTGTTTGGAGGGATCCATCTTTGAGGTCTGGGTCGCGATGTCCTCCAATGCACAATCTAGCCTTTGCCTTTGGTGCAATGCTGGGATCCTCTCGACGCTTCGCCACGTTTTTGTCACGGTAGGCAAAGCGAGAGGGAAGAATGCGATCTTTGGAAATTGTGGATCGCACTGCATTGCTTTCTTCCATGTTCAAGACCCTTACAGCTCCGTACTGCAAGTGCTCTTTCCATTGTTTCTCTTCTGCTGCAGTGTAAAGCGGCTTCTCAGGCTCGGGGATGTCGCTCCATTTCACCTCTTTGTCCAACTGCTTTTGATAGGCCTTTGGAAGCTGAAAATCGGCCTCGTCATTTTCTTCAATTGCATAGGTCACGTGGGAAGCATGAGGAGCTTGAGACTTCACCATGGGAACATATTGTTTGCCACGGGCGCGTTTCTGAGGCACTAGTGTATCCAAGTCGTCGACCCGGATATCATCTTGAGCATCAGCAAAAAGATCTTCGTTCTCATCATCTTCATCAAGATGGTGTACTAGTTGGAGGAGATCTTCCTGCATGACCTTGGCTTGCATCAGCATGCCAAGCTCTTCGGATTCTGCATGACGCAGATGCTCACGCGCGCAAAGCAAACACCTGCCGCCTCTAGAAACCCAGAAAGAGTCACCTTCTACACCCACAATCGTTCCAGGTCCAATCCATTCACCTGCCTCAGGTTTGAGGCGTGCAGCTCCACCCGCATTCTTGGACTTCCGGTAGAGATAGACCCAGTCACCTGGTTCAAAGTTGTTCTTGACAGTCCTGGGTCTCCCTTGAAGAGCTCGGCGAACAGCGCTGTCGGCCTGAGATTTGATAAAAGCTTCTCGGGCCGCTTGCCGAATTTCTTCATGTCTATGTCGTTCTTGTCCAGGAGTCAAGAGCTCATCCTTGATCATCAATTCAGGATCTTCGTCAATCATTCCATTGCCGGAGCGAGGCTGAGCACCGAAGACCCATTGTGCAGGTGAATAGCCATGCTTTCTACGGAGCGAGTTCTTGGCTTGACAGACCTGAGCAAGGGTCCATTCAGCTTCATCATCCGTGATTGCCATGTGGTCAATTGTTTTCTGCCAGATCATACGATACCAAGAGTTTTGACGTTCTACTGGACCATTTTTCCAATGAGCCTGACCAGCAACGTACTCAACCTTGATGCCATGTTGTTCCATACAATCTGTAAATTCCTTCATCAAACCCCTTTCTTGATCAGCAACCACACGATGAGGAGAACCAGCCCAGGAGACCCATGCGTCTAGAAATGCTTCAGAGATGTTGTTGGATGTTCGGCCCTTGAGCAACTTTACCACATGGTACCCCGAAGCTATATCAAGGATTGAGAGGACGTTGAGCTTTCGTTTGGAAGGGGTATACAAAACAAAAGTGTCCACACCGACCTCCTGATTGAAGTCCCTGGCAACAATAGTTCTGGCTGGGCGTCGGGTCCCAGGATTCGCATGTCGCTGACAAGTTGCGCATTTCAACTGATGCGCGGCTTTCACCACATCATCCCCCGCACCTGCAAGACGAAGATGTCGTGCAAGGTCTTCGTGTCGAGGGTGTCCAAGGTTCTGGTGCAACCTGCGCAAGATCTGGGCTGTATGCTTCCCAACGTGCGGAGGAAAAGTGATCCCAGTCAAACTTGCTCTAGTTGCGGACTCGACTGGTGTGTTTTCATCACCTACTGATTCACCATGTGGAGCATGTGGATCACCCTCATGTACTGTGTCATGTAGAGTATGTTGTTCCATGTCGACATCACTACCATCCATGTAGATATCTGATCCCTGCAAAGGTGTACCAGGTTCATAGCCATCGCTAAGCTCCCCATCCCCAATAACAGGAAAAGACGTCCAACATCTGGGCACGATCTCGGACTTGTAGCATTCAACCACAGCTCTGCAGAACTCGTAGGTGTAGACGCCTGCAGCACGGGTGTTACGGCCGGCGGTTGGGGTATGCACATGATCACCTTGGCACCTACGACCTAGATCGCGATGAAATACTCCATGAGAACAAATCAACGTAGTGGGTTTGCGTAAGAGGCCATCATCGGTGACGGCACGCAAGTTGTACCTACACATGTCCAGGTTCACTCTAAACATACGTGGGTCATGGAAGATCTCGGCAAAGGAGCCGTCGTCCCACATGTCGCTCATGAAGGGATGTTCAAAAACAACTTCACCACCATGTGCCATTTGAATTTGTGCTACCCTCTTTGAAAAACGAATCAGTTTCCTTTGTGCGGCCCTTTCACGCCTAAGAGCTTGTTTTCTCCCATGATAGTTCAAACGCTGCCAAGGGCTCCATTTTGTACAAGGCAAAGCGATCCAGAGAAGCTTTGGACGATGGTGCATGATGTCGTTGATCACCTCTTCTTGGACCTCAGACTTCGAAAGATCATGGCCGAGTTTGATGTCACGTGGTTCCAATACATTGAAGCCTTGCTGTGCAAAAGTCTCGGTCAGGTGTGCCGATCCTGCAAACAACTCCAAAAAGTCTACCCTATCCTCAGCAGCAGTGACCAAATTGGATGCAAAAGTTTGCAATGGAGTTGCACACACAGCGACCAAGGTTGCCAAGGCTGTCACTGCTTTGGCTGCCCAGGACTTTACCTTCTTCTTGGTGTTGCGTCGCACACGACGCTTCGGCAGATTCCGTACCGCCTCATAGTCGTCACCGTAGACAAACTTTACCTTCGGCTCCAAGTTCTTGTCATGGCCGTAGGTCTCATCAGTGACTACGTTATACACATCCTCATAGGTCTCATCAGTGGCTGTGTTATACACATCCTCATTGTGCGGAACCCCGCCCGCCTCATACTTTGAAACCTTCTCATTCTCAGTCTCATAGTCACTGGACACCGGGCTTGCATCACCTTGATCTCTCTTGTCTCGCTTCTCTCTCTTTGCCGCAATAGCGACTTTCACTGATTCTCTAAACTTCCGTCCCTTGGCACGGCGGTCTTTGTTGCCTCCTCTGCCATCTTGATTGTGTGCAGGATCTTTGTGCGTTCCTGCAGCTTGTGGATCCCCTCCTTCTCTGACATGGGGCCTTTCACCGAAGACTTGACGCCAGAGCTTTGCGAGGGTCCCGCCGTAGTTTCCATACGAGCCCGCAGCATCCTCATCAGAAGACCCTGCGTTGCCTTTGGTGGTATCTCCAGCCCCTCCTCCAAGCACTTCTCCTTCAGTTGTTCCAGGGTGCATTTGGTCAGACCCAAACTGGTCTTCCTTTGAGGCCCCCGGGTCTCCATCAACAGTGACCTCAACTCCGGCACTGACATGCTCGGCTCGTACTTCACCTTCATGTCGGTCAAGGCACCCAGAAGCTCGGCACGCCGCATCTTCCATACCGAGACTTGGTGGGACATCACCTGGGTTTGGCGCCCCAGGTGAAACTGATTGAAGCACTTCGGCTACTTGAGGCCTTTGGAAACGGCTTCGCCCAATCCACAGACTTTGTCCTTTGACCTTGGCCTCAAACCTCCAAGCATGAGACATCACGAACGGCTTTCCAGTGTGTGTACAGAGTATGCATGTGCTGGTACGTGTGTCGCCAAGGGAAAGGAGAAGACATTCTTTCAGATCATCGTCACTTGTTTGCCAATCTCGAGGATCAAATAGGTCTCTTCTAGGAGTGACATGAATACGGTCCATGTAGAGATCACCTTCAATCCAAAAATCCCTCAAAACCTCGTTGTCACGCCACCAACCCCGAAACCATTCTGGGCAAAGATGTTCAGCAGATAGTTTGTTGAGAACCAGGGGATCCAACTTCTTGGGGTAGAACAACTTCTTGGGGACCTCTACAACATCACCCTCATGACGCACCATGTATGCCACACTCTCGGAAGGTACGTAGATCTCAACCAGATCCCACTGAATGCTCTTTGGCCATCGTGGGGCAGGGCCAGAACCACAAGCGACCGGCACCGCAGGGAGGCCAGTCAAAGTGGTTTGCAAAGGAACATCAAACAAACTAAGTGCTTCGAAGGATGCCGTATTGGCGGGCAAATCATATCGCATGCCCAATTGGGCCAACACTGGACGGCTCAGCAAAAGGGGCACATCTGTGTCCAGTTCAGACACCTTCAAAATAAACCACTTGCCATGTACGTTCAGCCAAAAACACCATGCTCTCTTGGAGAGGAACAACTTGTCTCCACCAAACTTGAAATGCTCATGTTGTTGAACTACTTCAAATTGATGGCCTTTGGCCAATGCATTCTGACGCAGGCGCTTGATCCACTCACTTCCAGCAACAGATCGGCTGCAGGCGCAATCGGTGATTGCCACGATCTCTGAAGTCTCGAGGCTTCCAACGTGAAAAGCTTCGCAAACATGTAGAACCTGGGCAGATTGGACAGGAGCTTTGTTCTGTGGCTTCTTCCTGTCCTTTTCCCCGTGTTTACGAGGTTCCCATAGACGTCGGTTCATACGATCTTGAACCACAGCAGCATCTTGAAGTTTGGAGAGTTCATATCTATTGCCAGTAGAGGATAGAAGGTTGAGTTCAGCGTCATTCTCAAGACGGAGCTTATCCACATAGAACCAAGCCAGGCATAGGTCAGGGAGATTACAACCAACTTCTTTGAGACGTGAGACCTGTCTGTCATATTCCTGGTTAAAGTCACGAATCTCTTGGCCGTGCCCCTTCTTGAGATACTTGAAGAATTCCAACATACACTTGCCAACCTTGACAACCTCCTTGTCTAGATACTTCTCGGAGACCCACTGAGTGAAAACATCCACCCCATGCTCACTATCCAACAAGGCTAAGTCGAGTTCTTCCGCATCCCTCCATGCCCTACCAGTCAGGTTGTTATACAAGGCCAATGCTTGCTTGTTTGGCCTCAACCTTGTCATCCTTCTCCATGCTGCCACCTTGCGAAGATAGCCGCGCGTCGCCATGCCGTCTCCGTCATCTTCACCTGAGAATTCAGGTGCGCTGATTTTGTCACTACCCCCAATCCGATCATCTTCACAGTTTGCGCTGACTGATCCGTTTCCACCGGAAGGGGTAGTAGTTGTTGGGGACCAAGAGTACCGTGATCTTCTCCTAGCCCTCCACTCTTCCCATTCAACATCAGTCCAAGGCCCCGAGGAACTATGGGTGACTTCCCTTTGCCCCTCATGAGTAGCATCCCCATCACTAGACGCACTACTAGGGCCCCCGTCGCCGCTATGCTCCTCCACACCTGGGCCTAAAGGCGTTGGGGCAGGCATCAAGAGCAACTGCTAAGGATGCACCACCACTTTCCACCACTTGCCAATGTCCTTCTTCTGGACCGTCCCGGGGTATTATCGAGCCCCCCGGGTGGCTCCGCTACCAATGTGAACTGGTAGTGGATGGTGCAACCAAAGATCAAACGAATGCAAATGCGACACCGCCGCCTCCAATCGCCATGTGCTTTTCCAACAAGCTGAAATCCGTGGGCCTAGAGCCGCAAGTCCACGGCACCTGTACTGTATGCATGTATGTGTCAAGGTGAAGTTGGTTCATTCACAGACCAATTTCTTTTTATATTGTATTAAAAAAATGAGTTTTTCAGGCTCACCGAAGGGTACCCCCCACGACTGGTGTCGTAGAACTATGAAAAAAAACTATTTTGCAATGAAAACCAATGGAATTGGGTGGTGTTCCTCAAAAAATTGATGAATATTTTCACTTGGGACCTATATTCTATGTATGTAGTTCTGCAAGGAATTGGGTCTCTTTCATGTAGAAAGGCCTTATAAGGGTATACATTATATACGAAATTCCCTTTGGGGAGTAGCAACCCTGGATGTCTGAAGTTCCTCAACTAGAACATTTCAACAAAAAAAACGGGCACCCCGAAATGATCAATTTCTTTTTATATTGTATTTAAAAAATGAGTTTTTCAGGCTCACCGAAGGGTACCCCCACGACTGGTGTCGTAGAACTATGACAAAAAAAAGCAATGAAAACCAATGGAATTGGGTGGTGATCCTCAAAAAATTGATGAATATGTTCACTGGGGACCTATATTCTATGTATGTAGTTCTGCAAGGAATTGGGTCTCTTTCATGCATAAAGGCCTTATAAGGGTATACATTATATACGTAATTCCCTTTGGGGAGTAGCAACCCTGGATGTCTGAAGTTCCTAAACTACAACGTTTCAACAAAAAAACAGGTCACCCGAAATGACATTTCTTTTTATATTGTATTTAAAAAATGAGTTTTTCAGGCTCACCGAAGGGTACCCCCCACGACTGGTGTCGTAGAACTATGAAAAAAAACTCTTTTGCAATGAAAACCAATGGAATTCGGTGGTGATCTTCAAAAAATTGATGAATATGTTCACTGGGGACCTATATTCTATGTATGTAGTTCTGCAAGGAATTGGGTCTCTTTCATGTATAAGGGTATATATCATATACGTAATTCCCTTTGGCAAGTAGCAACCCTGGATGTCTGAAGTTCCTAAACTACAACGTTTCAACAAAAAAACAGGTCCCCCGAAATGACAATTTCTTTTTATATTGTATTAAAAAATGAGTTTTTCAGGCTCACCGAAGGGTACCCCCCACGACTGGTGTCGTAGAACTATGAAAAAAAAACTATTTTGCAATGAAAACCATGGAATTGGGTGGTGTTCCTGAAACAGTTGATTAATATTTTCACTTGGGACCTATATTCTATGTATGTAGTTCTGCAAGGAATTGGGTCTCTTTCATGCATAAAGGCCTTATAAGGGTATACATATATACGTAATTCCCTTTGGGGAGTAGCAACCCTGGATGTCTGAAGTTCCTCAACTAGAACATTTCAACAAAAAAAAACGGGCACCCCGAAATGATCAATTTCTTTTTATATTGTATTTAAAAAATGAACTTTTTAGGCTCACCGAAGGGTACCCCCACGACTGGTGTCGTAGAACTATGAAAAAAAAACTATTTTGCAATGAAAACCATGGAATTGGTGGTGATCCTCAAAAAATTGATGAATATGTTCACTGGGGACCTATATTCTATGTATGTAGTTCTGCAAGGAATTGGGTCTCTTTCATGTATAAGGGTATATATCATATACGTAATTCCCTTTGGGGAAGTAGCAACCCTGGATGTCTGAAGTTCCTAAACTACAACGTTTCAACAAAAAAACAGGTCACCCGAAATGACAATTTCTTTTTATATTGTATTAAAAAAATGAGTTTTTCAGGCTCACCGAAGGGTACCCCCCACGACTGGTGTCGTAGAACTATGACAAAAAAAAAGCAATGAAAACCACTGGAATTGGGTGGTGTTCCTCAAAAAATTGATGAATATTTTCACTCGGGACCTATATTCTATGTATGTAGGTCTGCAAGGAATTGGGTCTCTTTCATGTATAAGGGTATATATCATATACGTAATTCCCTTTGGCAAGTAGCAACCCTGGATGTCTGAAGTTCCTAAACTACAACGTTTCAACAAAAAAACAGGTCCCCCGAAATGACCAATTTCTTTTTATATTGTATTAAAACAATGAGTTTTTCAGGTTCACCGAAGGGTACCCCCACGACTGGTGTCGTAGAACTATGAAAAAAAACTATTTTGCAATGAAAACCCATGGAATTGGTTGGTGATCCTCAAAAAATTGATGAATATGTTCACTGGGGACCTATATTCTATGTATGTAGTTCTGCAAGGAATTGGGTCTCTTTCATGTATAAGGGTATATATCATATATGTAATTCCCTTTGGGGAGTAGCAACCCTGGATGTCTGAAGTTCCTAAACTAGAACGTTTCAACAAAAAAACAGGTCACCCGAAATGACAATTTTTTTTTAATATTGTATTAAAAAATGAGTTTTTCAGGCTCACCGAAGGGTACCCCCCACGACTGGTGTCGTAGAACTATGAAAAAAAAAACTATTTTGCAATGAAAACCAATGGAATTGGGTGGTGATCCTCAAAAAATTGATGAATATGTTCACTGGGGACCTATATTCTATGTATGTAGTTCTGCAAGGAATTGGGTCTCTTTCATGTATAAGGGTATATATCATATACGTAATTCCCTTTGTCAAGTAGCAACCCTGGATGTCTGAAGTTCCTAAACTACAACGTTTCAAAAAAAAACAGGTCACCCGAAATGACCAATTTCTTTTTATATTGTATTAAAAAAATGAGTTTTTCAGGCTCACCGAAGGGTACCCCCCACGACAGGTGTCGTAGAACTATGAAAAAAAACTCTTTTGCAATGAAAACCAATGGAATTCGGTGGTGATCCTCAAAAAAATGATTAATATGTTCACACCTATATTCCCCAAGGAATTGGGTCTTTTCCATGTATAAGGGTATATATCATATACGTAATTCCTTTTGTCAAGTAGCAACCCTGGATGTCTGAAGTTCCTAAACTACAACGTTTCAACAAAGAAACAGGTCCCCCGAAATGACAAATTTCTTTTTATATTGTATTAAAAACATGAGTTTTTCAGGCTCACCGAAGGGTACCCCCCACGACTGGTGTCGTAGAACTATGAAAAAAAAAACTATTTTGCAATGAAAACCAATGGAATTGGGTGGTGTTCCTCAAAAAATTGATGAATATTTTCACTTGGGACCTATATTCTATGTATGTAGTTCTGCAAGGAATTGGGTCTCTTTCATGTATAAAGGCCTTATAAGGGTATACATTATATAATTACGTAATTCCCTTTGGGGAGTAGCAACCCTGGATGTCTGAAGTTCCTCAACTAGAACATTTCAAAAAAAAACCGGGCACCCCGAAATGATCAATTTCTTTTTATATTGTATTAAAACAATGAGTTTTTCAGGTTCACCGAAGGGTACCCCCACGACTGGTGTCGTAGAACTATGAAAAAAAAACTATTTTGCAATGAAAACCAATGGAATTGGGTGGTGATCCTCAAAAAATTGATGAATATGTTCACTGGGGACCTATATTCTATGTATGTAGTTCTGCAAGGAATTGGGTCTCTTTCATGTATAAGGGTATATATCATATTACGTAATTCTTTTTGGGGAGTAGCAACCCTGGATGTCTGAAGTTCCTAAACTACAACGTTTCAACGAAAAAAACAGGTCACCCGAAATGACCAATTTGTTTTTATATTGCATCTAAAAAATGAGTTTTTCAATCTCACCGAAGGGTACACTCCACGACCGGTGACGTACACGCATTTTTTAATGCAAAGAGGGTGTTCGCTTGTATTCTCTTCTGTTCCTGACCTTGCTTTTCTTTTTCCTTTGATGCTTGTGCATTTGTCGGTACAATGATTGCCTTAAATTTGGCAATCGTGATCCAAAACTTACCCAGAACCCAAAAAATGTTCAATCTGCTGGGTTTCACACATGTTTTCGATATGGGAATATCGTTATTCCTATGGTATTTGCTTTGGCACTGTTTATGCACTCCAAAATTCTACCCCAAATATTTCTACCCCAAATATTCTAAGTTTTTTTTTCTCTGTCCACACCCGTAGGGTTGAAATCGGGCATATTCTATGTAGGCGATCGTGATTATATATATATATAGTATTATATAGTATAAATATAATATGTGTTTACAAACATATACAAGCTATATGTCATTGCTTACATGTTATTACTACCCAGGCCTGCGGAGTCCGCTGCTGGGCCGCGCCTGGAGCGTTTCTTGGATGAATCACCGGAAACGGTTGTTGATGTTTCTGAATATCTCTCTGGTAAACTATCGTAACTATGGAACGATCCACCATTTTTCATGGGTAAATCCACTATTTCTATGGCCATTTTCAATAGCAAACTGTTAGTTTACCAGAGGGTATATCATTTGATATCATTTCTTACTGTGTTTTTCGGTGAAATCAAACAAAGCACCAGAGTTTTTCATGGGTTCAACACAAAAAACTCTTGATATCTCTTGATCTTACTGCTCTTTGGCGTTGCAAAACGCGT